CCAATGCATAATATTTATTTCTCAAGACATTTCAAATGTATTTTGTTCTGCATGTTCTGTTTCTAGACATGGAAGCCTTTGTGAAAGCCATGCAAGAAGCCGGCAAAAAGAAAGAAAAAGACAATGATTCCATGGAGCATTAGCTTGGTCCTAGCTCACCGAACAGACCAGATGTTTCTAGCAGCCAGAGTCTGATCAATTCTATAGTACTTTTGTTAAGTGAAAATGTTTCAGTTCGAGAGAATTTCTTTTTTCATTTAAGTAGTTGTCTTCTGTCTTCATTTACTGTCTGTAGTAGTTATGACAATCAAATTTGTAGTTGCTATCCCACTCAGTTCACGAACAACCAGCAATTTGTTGATGTCTTGAGGAGTATATCTGGTGATGTGGATTCAGGGGCAGTGCCCAATGGTGATGAGGAAGTGCAACCTCCGTGCCCCATGCTTTGGTTAGATGGAATCAGGAATGAGGGAGATGCTGTGGACTACAAGGTTCAGCCCAGTCAGTGTTGGGCCAGTGTAACTTCAAGATTGACTGTCGAAAAGTTATGCTTTGGGGAATTAGCAGTTGCCATTGAAGAAAGTGAGAATGTCCCTTTAGAACAAGGCAGGAATTCAGAAAAAGTTAAACAAGTTGGAGATAAATATGAAGATGAGATTAAGCTGACAGATTACATTAGCCAGCCAGTGGATCAAGTGGACACATCTCCTACCATCAGATATGAACTCTTTTGTTCTGATGTAGCTGATACTGATGAAAGACAAGATTCAAATGATGATGACAGGCCAGTATGTAAGAATGTGGAGAGTATTGATGACTTGAGAAGTGAATTGACCGAAGTTGTGCATATTGAGAATAACAAGGATGCCAATGAAGGAGACCGGGAGACAAGTCAAAATATTGTTGGCATTGACCACCTGAGTCAGGATGTCACTATACCGCCAAGGGCCCTCTCTTCACACAGCCTGGAACATCACCAGGATCTGAGTGTTTACTTATCTGTCTCCAAAACTGATTCTAAAAAGAAATCGACCACGAACCTTCACCTGGAGATGAACATTCTAGCTGACTCTCTCAATGTTCACATGAAAGTTGATGGTGTGGAGCAGGATGCCTCCCTTGCTCCTGCAGATCAGCACTTGGCCCTGGACTTGAGCTACAGTAGATCAGTTGGTGATGTTGCCCATCAACACCAGGCTGATGAGATAGAGGCCAGTCAGAGAGGCATGTTGCAGAGTAGTAATGAACTAGATCAATCTTTAGTGGAGCTTTCAGAGGAAGGCATGCTTTTAGAACCGAAACAAAAAGAACAGATAGGTTTGGACTGTATCAAGCTAAAGCTTCCTGTTCAGGAAGATAAGAGCAGCAGTGGACAAGAAGGAAAGCTTGTACTGTGGTCTGGTTTAGTCAACTCAGGATTTCAAGCTGAGACAGGAGATGATGAAGCTCAGCAGATGAGCATAAGCCACCCTGGGAAATTGTGGCTAGCAGAGGATTTTCCATCAGAAGCTTACAACTATGATTCTGACCTGCCTGAGATCAAGATAGATGATGGGAATAGTGATGTAGGAGACACAAATGAAGACATTAGAGATTTCCAAAGTACTGAGAATGCAGCAGAGGAAATTGATTCTTTGATAAACTCTGAGGCCAAAGGAGATGATGTAGCTGGGGATGAAGTGGACACCAATGAAGATATCAGACCAGTATTTGAGAACATGGCAGCTTTTGACCACTTGAGCAGTGAAGCGAATGAAAAAAGTCTTTCAAAGTCTAGCTCCCACTTAGACTCCAGTGTTCACCTTTCAGATATCAACCTTCATCTTAATGTCTGCAAGGAGTCTGTCAAGATAGGCTTGGCATTGACCTCTCTTCCAGACACAGTTGAAGAACATGCTACATTTTTAATGAAAACTGCAGTTTCTGATGTCAAATATCATGGCGTCCAGAATGCTTTAGATCTGGTTGTACTTGAAGGAGATTTGAACAGTCCAGTCAAACATCTCTATGCGGATGAACTCTACACTGGAATTGATAGTGATGACAGCAGTTCCACATCTATTGGGGGTAATCAGATGACAGTTCAGAAAGCTAAATCTGATGTTAGCAGTGAACTCAAGAGAGTTATTTCTGATGATGAAAGTTCTGAGTCATCTCTATTGAATGAATCCTCAAGGCATCTTGACAATCATAGTGACATGTTAGTAACACAGTATGAAGTGGTTTCTGCAAAGGTTCATCAGAATTATGAGCAGGAGAATTTAGATTTAAGTGTTCAGCTGAATCCTTCCCACAGAAAATACAAGAAGGCTGGCTCAGTGAAGCTAGATGAAAGAATCAGCGTGAACTCTGGGGCCAGGAACAATAAGACAGTTACCAGAAGTACACATCTAGACATCTCAGGGCTGACCTTGCAGGCTGATATCATTGTCCAGAAAACTTTAGCAGACTCCAGTTGGTCTGAGCTTGGAGAGTTGTCCCCCAGTCAAGATGGCAACCATGACAGTATAATGGTGTCAACATCTGGTGCCCACTGCATTGTCACCAATGAAAGTGAAGAGAGTGTCACTCTTACAGGAAACCATCATTCTGATCTCTCAGATGTGGCCTTCTGCGCATTTACTTGTGCGGACACAGTGTTTTGGGTTTGCCTACTTATCACCATCATTTTGTTTGAAATGTGCAAGTGTTATTGGGTGTTCGTTATTCCAGGTTGTGTCTTTCTATTCTCTTTACTTGTCTCAGAAAACTCAAAGCCTAATGACTAGAGCTCATTGCTTCTTAGCATCTTGGTGAAGACATACAATTATTCATTTATCCATAGTCCTTTTTATTGAGCTCTCCTGCACACCATTTTATTTTGAGTATCAGTTCTTTATGTCTATAATTTAAAGTTGCTATTAGATTGAAACTAGATGTTCAATAATAAAGATGATTCATTTTATACTTGAAACTTTAACATGTAGATATTTACACAGACATTTGATATAAAACAAGTAGTTTGACAACTATTTTCAATGTTTATGATTATATCTATACCATTTATCAGTTTACATTAAGCTCAGCAGACTCATCTTGATTAATTTACAATTACTAGGAGTTGTGTTCCTATTTAAATAGATCTATTTTCATGATCAAAACTTTCTTCATTTAAAAAAAAAAAAAGAATACTGTACAACATATTGATCCTATTGAAAGTGTCCATTTTGACAGTAGCATTACAAATGTATATTTCTTGAAGTGAATTCATAGATCAGTTTACAACACCCCTCAAAACATTAATTCTACTGCTATGTACTGAGTTTTTGAGTTTCAATTAAAGTTTCTTGCTCTAATTAATCAATTGATGTTGTGTTTGAGCCTGTTTACTTTAGAGTAGCACCATGTGTCAAACTTGACTTGATATTCCCAAAATTAAGTTAACAGAAAGTGTGATCAAGCAGTGACATAAGTGATTACATTATCAGACAAAATATGCTAAGGATCGTGTAATAAGCAGTGTGGTGATAACCATTGTTGTCATCGATTTGACAATCTTTTTGCATACATATAACCTGGCTGTAGTCATGCTTGTTGATAGTTTATATATGGAGAACTTCTTCCAATCCAGTCAAATAGAAACAAAAAAAAAAGAGTGATTTGAAGAAATGCAATGGAGATATAATGTGGGCTTAAGAAAAAAAAATACAAGAGTACTATTGTGAAGGTTTTTAAGGAACATCTGCAATTTATAATTTGAAGCAAAAGTAAAGTTCCCCTTTCAGACCTTGTAGTCTATAGGGCAGATGATGTAAAGGTCATCTGTTTCTGTGGCCTAAGGTTAAAAAGGGTGTCATGTGGCCAGCGCAATGAACAACCGCCTTTACTTTTCCCCAACTAATGTCAGGTACCCATTAGAGCTGGGTGGACTCGGTGGGGCCAAAGATCTGAAAATTAAAAATCCCAGTCTTTGAACCCAGGACCCTCGGTTTGGAAGCCAAGTGCTTTACCGCTCAGCCACCGCACTTCCTAATTTGATGCAAACTAATACTAATTGTGCTTCAAGCTAAAAAAAATAATTGATTCTACTGCGCTGAAACAGTGCAAAAAAATATATGGTTAATTAAAATATATTCTGTACAGGTACATGTGCGGCCCTCCATAAAAAAAAGGTTGCCAACCCCTGCTTTAGACAAAACAAAATCATGAATATTTTTTGCCCACTGAATTCGCTAAGTCTATCACTTTAAAAAAAACAGTTTCCAATTTGTTGTAAAGAAGACAGAGCAGTTCCTAACCTAACAGTTTGTTCTTTAATAAGAAAAACATTTTAAACCTAAGCATTATTCAAAACCAAGATGATATATTCTTATATTACTAATAAAGGGGACGGAGGCGATACATTTAATGGTGTTTAAATTTTAATAGAGGATTACATTGCCATTTCTAAAATTCACTTTTGATAGTTCTATTATGGTGCCAAGTCAAGAGACAAAAAAGTTTAGAAGTAGAAAACAAATGGCAGAAGTGCTAACAGACTGCTGCTTATTTAATTTATACATTCTGTAGCTAAACCAGCTGCTTACTTAAACATTCTGAGGCTAAACCAACTTTGTTTGATGACATTGTGTATTTATTCCTGATTTCTCTTTTGTTTTTGTATCTCAAGTATACATTTTGTAAACTTTATTATGTAACATTAATTTTATTTAAAATTAAGTTCTTGAATAAAATTAAAGGCAGTTACACAAATATGAATGACTGAATAACACATGCATTTAAAAAAAAGTCAAAATGTTTATTTGTATATTATTACATTTATTATCTATTTCTAGCAATATCTTAGCAATAATTAGAAGAAATAGCTTTCACTTAACCATGTTTCTATGTTAAAAAGAAAAAAGCATAAACAGAATAAAAATACAAATCCTTTAACTCTTTCTCTCCGTAATTATTTACCAGACTCTGGTGGAATCAACGCTGGTATCGTCATTTAGGAAAGAAAGAGTTAACTCCAAATGTAAAAAAAAAAAAAAAAAAAAAAACACAAACTTATGAACCAGCTATGGTCTCATCAGGTAGAATTTTAGATGTGCTTTTATTTATTTGATTTTTGAGAACACCTATTACTAGCAACATTTTTTTAAAAAAGTGGTCTGAAGGATAATGAAATGAAGATGGGGATAAATGTGATGTGGAGGCTGATTCAGCCATAAAAATGAAATACTACAAATTTGCACTACAGATGTACAAAGTAGGAGTGAAGTGAATGTAAGTAGATAATGTAACATCTACAAGATATATACAAATACTTACACTTGTAACAAAATAAACTCGTACATAGTGTGAGAATAAAAAAAAAAGTGGCAGAGATAGTATCATGAGGAAAGAAGGGGGGGGGGGGGGGGGGCTAAAATGATTTACCTTATAGAATGCTGACAGAGAAATAAGAACAACTTTTTTCTTTTATTTTTTTGCAGACAGCTCACAGAATGTTTAAGAGTTGTTGTTTTTTCTTCATTTGCACAAAAATCAGTCTAGAATCTTTTTCAAGACATCTAAAAAAATTTATAAAGATCAACTAGTTTTAAACTAATAACTAAAAAAAAAATGTTTTAGTGTTATTCCATAACATACTTTTTATCTGTTCTAAATTGTCCTATACTTTTTTTTTTTGTCTTCCATTTATTTGTATCTAGTTTAGATAATAGTGGGTTTTAATTGAAAAGAATTTCACACACTTGTGATAAAGTTATCATTCCACCCCTCCCTTATTCTTTCCTTGCACTAATCTTAACACTTTTCTGATGAAAGAATCATCAAAATGTGCTGGCAGTTTAGCTTAAACAATTATTTTCATGACAACAAAAATGTGCCCGTATTCTAATGAAAACATCACAGACCAGGTGATTAGTCAACATGATATGCAACATTAAGACTTACTGTCATATTCAAATCAAGTACACACCTTACCCTGACATCAACAACAGTCTTTTAAATATATATATATAGAGAGAGAGATATATATATATATATATATATATAAAGCAGAAAGTAAGGCATATCTATGTATGTCCCGAATAGAAATCAAAACCACTAGACCAATCTTAATAAAACATGGCATAATTCTTCCATAGATCATGGCACAACTGGAGGGCCCTAAAAATTGACAAAAAGTACCTAATGCTATCTCTGTTAAACTCTTGTTAAACTTTTTAACAAATTGGGTTAACCTGTTTTCACAGTATTTTATATTTGATACGACTGAACGGGTAAACCAATTTTCACACACTACTTTTATTTTAAACAATAATAGAAAATTAGTTTTATCCTCAGCAAGATAAACATCAATTTGAATCAATACTATATTTTTAAAATCTCTGAATTAAAATCCTTAATAAACCTAGGAGAGGTTTCCAGTAGAAAAAAAGACTTAGAAATCATGAAACTAATATTTATCTGAAAAAAAGAAGTGAATGCAAAATTTAACAATGACAACATTGGAACCATTTAAATATTTTTAGTTAATTATCATTGAACAGTCCTTGCCATAATTAGACTAATTGTATTCTACCACCAGAGATGAGGCCAGATGGAATAAGGTGATAGTTAAAATAGTCATTACTGTAGTCCTGTATTAAGTTGGGAGGTGGCTGATAGGATGGAGTACTGGTTCTTTGATTGCTGGATCAACATGACAGTCATTTAGTCAAATGTCAACAGTATAATAAAACATACATTGTTCAATATTCTATTAAGCATTTTACACATCAAATATATTTATATCAGTATCATTTTGGTTATGTACCAAATCTAAAAAATATTTTAACAGAAAACTTTAATGCAATTCCATAAATAAAAGTACTACTTTTACTCAAAAGTGACCCTGGAGCACAACTTAATAAACATAAAGCTGATTGATTTTTTTAACAAAAACATTTTTCACTTTTATCAAATGAATTTTAAAAAGTCAAAATAAAAATGTAAAAATAGTGAGAAATTCAATCAAAACAGAGAAAGGACACAAGTGTTTCTCTTTTATTTGATATGACCTCGACAACACTGAGGAAAAAAAAATGTTCACAGTCCTCCTCCTAGTAGTAATGAAATAATTAAAGTTCATTCTACACTTGACACACAATATCTACTTGTTTGTCTTGTACCTTACATGAATCTTGCATCAAAAATGAACTTGGATAGCTTTTGGTCCTTTACGTATTTTATTTTATACTACCTGGCAACATATACTCTTAACTGTTTAGTGAGTGAACTACCCACTGGCTAAAGCATAAAGAGAAATCAATGACATTAATTATAAGATGAATTCACAGCCAATAATTGTGCAATAAAAAAATGACTTCTTTATCAATGGCTTGATCACAACACCAAATAATAAACAATAAAAGTTGAAAAAAGAAGATTGACTTGTTAAAAATTCTGAATAATATGGCTATGAAATGTTCAAAGTATATATATATATATATATTTTATTTATATATATATATATATATATTTTATTTATATATATATATATATATATTTTATATATATATATTTTATTTTATATACAACTCAATAAAATGTTGAACTTGTGATCAAAATAAAATATAATTTTAAATATTAGTCGTTAAAAAATTTCTTTAGAAAACATAATGGTTAAAATGATTTCTCCTTTTTTTTGTATAGCTATTTAAGCCTGTATCCAGGAGAAGGTTTACCTAATGTCTTTAGGAGTTCAGTATACAAAACTTATGTGTTAAATCTAGAACTTTAAAAAAAAAAAAAATTCTAGTTTTCATAAGGATTTCAAGTCAAACATCCTCAGTAGTGTAACCAATCAGAGACATGCTCCTTTCAAAGGCACATTCCTCATTCCATATGCTAGGACAAATTTGTACAAATACTCCTTCTTCCCTAGTGCTATTAGAGCATGGAATGGGTTGCCTGAGCTAGTCAGGAAAACCAGTGACTTAGCAGGATTTAGGTCATTGGCTAATATGCATGACTCAATGCATGACGCATAGGATGTAATCATCTTTTTTTAAAGTAACGTCTGTATTATATAAGATAAAGATAATTATCAAAATTCAAAACAAGAAGAACAAAAATTTCATTTAAAAAAACATTTTAAAGAGAATAAACAAACTTTGATTAGATCTTAAACAATACGAATTAACATTTTCATTCTCATTCAAAACTTTGTGCTCATCAGCATTTGCTTTCAAGTTTCCATTTGTGATTCAAAAGAATAAGAGTCCCTCTTACTATTAGTGCAGCCAGTATTTTATCAATTCAAACAGTTCTTAATAGAAAAAAAACAAACATCTAAAACAATTTCGTCACCATCAACCGAAATTATGTTTGAATCTGACCCAGGAAATAATATAGTGATGTTTGACCCAAAAGAATTATATGACCAATTACATGATCAATGTGAGAAGAACTATCTTGGTATTCCTCACCAACTGACTAGTTTGAGTATGGAATTTCACAAATATAATGTTCAAAATTTACTTTGAAGTACAGGGAAAAAATTTTTTTTATTACAAATATAGATTTTTAAAAATTGTTCTAAATATGTATAAAAAATATTAAATTGTTGTTTGAATATCTCAGTATTAATAATCAAGAACAAGAATGCTTAGTGTATAATAAAGTAAGTTTTAAAAAAAAAGAGATATAAATATTTTGGTTGGAAAAATAAAAAAACAACACTTTTTGGTTGAAAACTATTCCTCCAATTAATACTCTGATCACAAAGAAATGGTTTGAATCAATCTATCTAAATAGGGCTTTTATTCTGTTCTCTTGTTTTAAAAGAATGTGATTTTCAGGCGTAGAATTATGACTGTTGCTTTTTAGTTTTTATAAAATACACATTTCCTATATTGCATAGTACAAGTGACTGAAGGAGGACAATTTGAAAGATTAACTCCAGGTTGTAGCAGCCATGTCATTATGTTGTTTTAAATTTTTCAAACATCTGATTCTATAGCTGATATTTTATATAGTTGTATATTTTGAGGACTAAATTGTTGTTTTTTTTAAACATCCTTTTAATCATTTTAAAACAAAACAGAAATATTCACATGAAAATCAAAGATGAACTTTTTGGAAATATAATCTAAAAAAAAAACGGAAACATTCACACACAATGACCATAATCTGACTTGCTTCAAGCTAGATACTAACAACTATATCCAGATAAACCAACAGTATTAAGAAGAAAAAACTCTTTACAATGGGCTGAAGAGTTTCCTCAAACTAACTCGTAGCAGAGGCCATCACAGGGACAGTCCCATTGAACTAAGTAATCACTCAAGAGAAAATCGACTTTGTTCCAGTTATGTAACATGCTCACTACTGTTAGTTATTTCCATTACATTCGAATGCAGTCTTTAGATTTGATTGGTGGATCTGCCTGGTCAGCAAACTGACCAGTGGTGACTTTGGTCAAGACAAGATCATCCTCAGATTTCTCATTTATGGGGTTGCCTGTTTCCATCTCCACTTTGGAATGGAAGCTGTTGATAAATTTCTGAAATAGATATGGAAAAAAAAAATTGTGTTCAAAGCAATAGCCATTATTGTCATGTCCCCTAGATACAGTCAACAAAGCAAAAACAATCAGAATTTTTCCCACATATAATCTAACTATATCCTAGAGAAAATTTAGTACACTTACAATGTATCAAATAGTCCTCCCACTTACAATCTAACTACATCCTAGAGAATGTTAAGTATTCTTACAATATATCAAAAGGTCCTCACACTTAAAATCTAACTACATCTTAGAGAACATTTAGTATACTTACAATAAGATTCCTTACATACAAACTACTCTCCATTTTTAAAATCTATGTTTACTCTAGGCTGAAAGTAACTGCTTTCAATTTTAGCCTTATAAACTAGAAACCTCTGTCATATAATAGCTTGACTGCAATTTCTTTGGAAATCAACATAGGCTGATTAGGACTGGTTTCTAACACAGATGTAAACATAGGCGGGTTAAGACTGGTTTCTAACGCAGATATAAACATAGGCTGGTTAGGACTGGTTTCTAACACAGATGTAAACATAGGCGGGTTAGGACTGGTTTCTAACACATGTAAACATAGGGTGGTTAGGACTGGTTTCTAACACAGATGTAAAGATAGGCTGGTTAGGACTGGTTTCTAACACAGACGTAAACATAGGCAAAAAAAATCCTGGTAATAAAAAGCATTTATTAAATAAGGCTAAATGAATCCAGGAGCATCTTCGAACCAAAAAGTTAAAATTTCAGAATACACCAGATTGGAACCCAGGATATTTTCTCAACAACAAGCTTCTCTACAACTTTGGCAGCCTTACTTCTTAATAAGGAAATGCAAAAAAATAAAACATACAGTGACTAGAACATCAAAATGCATTTCTGATCACATACAAAAGAAGAAAAACAAAAGGACTTGGTAATACCTGTATTATATTGGTTCCCTTGGCATAATAAACTGCATGAGCCATTCCAGCAGGAATGCAAAGCACAGATAACAGAGCAATAATCCATCCAAGGCCAGTAGCCCAGTCTGGATATGTATAGTTTGCTATAGACAATGACTGATACTGAATCATACTGAATATCCATATACCCTGTGAAACAAACAATAAAACTTATAATGATGACCAGTTCATGCGAATTTCTTTCTATATAAAACAAATCACAGGCAAAGTAATGAGCAGCTCTGCCCTGTTTAGAGGATAAAAAGTTGATTCTGGAGGGCTAGCGACCCAACATCACACTATGAAACATTTCTATAGAAATAGTAACTAAGAGTATCAAATTACAAATGGAAATATTGATAAATAAATATATTAAGTTTGCATAATATTCTTGATGATATAATTTTGTATATTAAAAGAAAAAAAAGAATATGGAGTTAGCTTCAATAAATTTAGGGTAGAAAATATAACATCTATGTTAGTTTAACTAAAACTCCATGTTTAGAAATGCATAAAAAAAAACATGATTGGAACAGTAAATTGTTAGTAACATTGAATCTCCACTTTTCTGATGACTTTTTCTAAACGAACCTCTCACAAATAGGTCAAGAGAATGCAACGAAGAAATAGTAACAAGACATTTTATCACAGGCCATCAGAGAGCAGAAGAAACTGGAAAGGCTGTTTGCAAATCTGTATCATTTTCTTTTTGATAAATTGTCAACAAACACTTGATAACACAGTCACTTGATAACAGTCTTAGATTTTAGTTTATATCAAAATATTTTGCCTTGGTGTGAATGAATATATCATGCAGATGTTTGCCAAACAATCAATGGACTAAGTTTTAAACAAATAAAAGATTATAATTGATAGAGACCCACAGTTGATGTGGCCAAACTTGTATTCACTGTGCTAAACAATAAACATGTGAATGAATAGTCAACAAGGTAAGAGATGCTGTCTTTTAAAATTACATTCAATGAAGTTGTTGCAAACAACTAAGATATGTAGCTTTCTATACCAAGTAAACACTTAATAAGTTAGAGACAAAGAAACTTGATTTTAAAAAATTAATTTAAATTAAAGATTGATAGTTGTTTCCAAAATAATAGTAAGGTATTCTCCCTATACTTAAAGATTAAAGATTACAGAAATTAATGATTAAAAATCTAGCTTTGATATTAATATTTTGAAACACCTGAAGCAGTCCTCTGTTAAATCTTGCAGTAATGACACATTTTAAACTAAGGTATACCATATTTCAAGTAAATCAAAATGTACTTAAATACTTTTTTTTTATTCAGATATCTGCTACTAGCTAGAAATAAAAAATGGCCATTATCATATCATCATCATCACAAGTTCATTAATAAAAAAAAATGTTTCAGAAGAAAAGTTGAAACAACTGACTATAAAAAGTTAGAATAGTCTTATTACCAGACACAAGCACTTACCCCAATAAGTAGAGGTGACAAGACAAACCAACAGATGATAAAGAAAATGTTAGGCTTTGTTCCAGTCATAACCCTAATGTTGTCAGCTAATCTATGAGCACCTGAGGATTGTAGATATGAAGCTATTCAGCATTTTAAATGAATAACGTGAATACAATTGCATATAAATAAGAAAAAAAAAGACATGTACAAGTCTTTTAATAAATTCAGCTAGATAAAAAAAAGAGACAGGCATCTAACCAAACATTTCCCTCAAGACCTAGAAGCAGGCATCTAACCAATACATTTCCCTCAAGACCTAGAGGCAGGCATCTAATCAAACATTTCCCTCAAGACCTAGAGGCAGGCATCTAACCAACACATTTCCCTCAAGACCTAGAGGCAGGCATCTAACCAATACATTTCCCTCAAGACCTAGAGGCAGGCATCTAACCAAACATTTCCCTCAAGACCTAGAGGCAGGCATCTAACCAATACATTTCCCTCAAGACCTAGAGGCAGGCATCTAACCAATACATTTCCCTCAAGACCTAGAGGCAGGCATCTAACCAACACATTTCCCTCAAGACCTAGAGGCAGGCACCTAACCAAC